AGATTAGCCAGTCGTCGAGATAGTTCAGGATGTGAACCCCTTGTCAGCGAAGCAGAGTGACTGGCCCAGGTCATGCTCCGCATCCTGACAGAGGAGACCAGGGAAGGACCAGCGTTCCGCGGTAGGAGGACGCCCTTAGCGGTGAGCAGGCAGAGGCATCTGTACCGACGGCTTGGTGGAGGCAGCAGCTGGCCATCAGGGCAGAATATGTTTGATAGCCTCAGACTGCTTCTGAGTGATTGAGAACTGCTGGGCAAAGTCCTCAACCACACTGCCGAAGAGGCCGGCCTGGGGGTCGGGTGGACGTCCCGTATATCGGCTAGGTTCAGCCAAAGGTGACGCTCCTAAACCACGTTAGTGGCCATCACCTCAGTCCTGCCTTCGTTCATATCTCTGAGCAGCTGGGCCTGGTAGACCTGTAAGTTGCTCATCACATGCAGAGCGGCGGCTGCCTGTCCTGCAGCTCTGTGAGACCTCGCCACCAAAGTAGACGAGAATCTACAGGCCTTGGACGGGTGCTTAGAATTACCGCGAGAGGATGGGCTCTGAGGACACAGTTGCATCGCAACAGAGCGCTCCACCGGGGGAATCCCAGTGTACCCATGGGCAGCTGCCCCATCGAGGGGAGAAAAGGTGGAGAAAGCTGACGAACGTTCACGGGAGGTCAGGGGAGCTTTCCATGACTGGCTCCTATTAGTGGGCCTACTTGTGTTACCCCGGTTCGGTCTTTTCTGTTTGTGTGCTTCTTTTTGTTTGCCAAGTCTTTACCCCCTTGTATCCTTTTCATTAGTTCATTTGCCTCACCAGTTATCTCGTATTACCTTCTTCATTTGTTGCCCTATTTTTTCCCTTGTGTGTGCTGAAACAAATTCCCAAATTTGGAAAGGACACCACCTCTGCTTTATGTCCCTATTTTAGACTCTTAATCCTATTTTGGAAATGAGCACCTCTTCGAAACCTGGTGCCACCCCACAACAGGTAACACATATTATTTGGTTTAAGGGGGTCTGCCATTTTTGTACAAGTTCATATGAATGTTTAGGGTCTAAATGAAAACTTTGTAATATACTTTTATTAAAAATTCTCATTAGTATTTTAAGAAAACACCATTTTACCTGGTCAAAATCAGCTCTTGTTTTCAGCAAGCCGTTTCAGTGCATTATGCCTTTAAATAATAAACCCCGCCCTCTGTTCTGCGGGCGTGAATGCATGTGGAATGTTGCCTTGACAACAGTTGAAGGTTTTGGAGAGAGAATGACAGCGCGAGTCTCTGAGGACACATCTGTGCAACCGTATCAGTTTGAACTGGAGTAACTGTTCACCGGAACAAGATGACGCCACAAAGAAGTTCGACAATTAAGGCTTGAGGACGTTTCTGAATGGTTGGTTAACGTAATGTTACTTTGATCTATCTTTGTATGCACTGGCAGAGTAGAGTAGTGAGATACGAACGCTATGTTTACTGATGTATACCTTAGTTCATTGAGAGATTGACGTTACAACTAATGGTCATGAAAAACTTTTTCCTGCGATTTGCAAAGATTAATATAAAAATTAATAAAACTTTAGGTGCAGAGGGAACATAAATAGTTGGTACCGATTATTTTTTCAGGAGCAGCTTCTTAGCAAAACCAGCTTTATACTGATCCTCGTTTATAAAGCAGTCTGGTGAGAAACGATTCGTGCAAACAAGAAAGTATTGACGTTGATAGTGGGGAATATTCCCTTTGTAAACAAAACTCAGTCACTGTGTCTTCATCGGTTCAAATTTAGGAACATCAGAATGATTTCTGTTTGTTATTGCACCCAAGAACAGAACAACACAATCGCTTAGACGCCATTCTGCTTCAGTGTATCAACAATGACGGACTATGATGACAGCTCGCTCGTTCAGGGCGGGTCTGTGTTGAAACACTGCTGTCAATCAACAACCGCGGGAGGGGCGTGCGACCGTGTGGCTCAATTTGAGGCAGGGGAAAACAAATAAGGAGATTAAAACAAAACCACTGGATGGATTTTTATCATTAAATGATGGTTGTGTACAGGCACTGACAACACACATTGCAGTACAATCAACTTGTAAAAGTGCATGTACCATTATATGACCCCTTTAAGAGGCTAATCTGTTAGCTATTTAATAAAGTGCCGAAGTGAAGATGTCACTTATAGGACAACTCGGAAGCTAGCGGCGCATGGGTTCCCGCCATCAAAAAGCTCTGCATTTTCCCCATAGACTTTTGGAAAATCGCAAAAAAACAAAATAATAAGATCTGTGTTCAACAAAGAGTTGTGACCCTTACACGTTTTGTCTATCAAGATAATCTTTACAAGTTCATCCAAAATGTATAAATAAAATAAAATAAAATGCTAACTCACTTACGCGTTTTGGCTTAAAAAATGACGTCATAACTTCGGTACTCTATTGGTCTGACATTATTTGACTCTAACAATTTTGTCACAATATATACTGTAATGAAGTGACGGTGGATGAATGTATTGTTATGACTGGCGTGGGTGGAGTGGAGGAGTGGGTTGAGTTTAGTGATTGTTTTCACCTGATCACTGATGAATGGGAAGGTTCATCAGAGAACTCTAAAGAGACTCTAAAGAGACCGGGCTGCAGACTTCAATAGCTACAGCGGGTCGAGATAGTGAGGTGGTAGTGCCAGGGGCCAGATCCGAAGTACCCCCAGTCACAAGCGAGGTATCAGGAAGCAGTGCTGCCCTAATGGGATCACAAGGGCAAAGAGGCCGGCCAGCTCGGGACACACAGAACTAAGGTGGTCAAGAATCTTCATATACTGGGGATATGCAAACATCCATGACTAGCCATTCTGCAATGACTGGGGAGGCCCAGCAAGGTGCATCGCTACCCAAAGAAGTGCGCCAAGGACGATCAAGGAGGGCACCAGTATGGTCTCTGGACTATGAAATGTTTTGAATTCGACTCGAGGACGAGTCTGCCCTATGGGTGGGAGGAGTGTAATGAAGTGACGGTGGATGAATTTATTGTTATGACTGGCGTGGGTGGAGTGGAGGAGTGGGTTGAGTTTAGTGAGTGTTTTCACCTGATCACTGATAAATGGGAAGGTCCAGGAAGCAGTAATTATTGTGAATTTCAATGTCACCCGAGGGATTAAAAAAAAGGTGAGCACAGTGAAGGAGCGAGTCTGAGAAGCAGCTGTTCTTGCAAATGCCTACTGCACTCAAGGTTGGGGGGTGGGTGCCGTTCGCATGCTAATTAGGGCTGCCGGCGGTGAAGATAGTTTAGCGGGTTAACCGATAGATAAGTCCGGGTATAGGAGTGCGTGGGCAGCGCGGCTTCTCAGCAAGGGGTGCTCCGTTCCCGCTATAGTTTGGAGGCCTTCTGAGTGCTGGACTGGCGTCTGCTTTTCCCCCTTGCCAACCAGCGCCAAAGCCTAGACCCCGGGGGAGGGTCTTACATCCTGGGAGAGTTAAGTGTTGAATTTTAGAAGTATTATTATGTGTGTGTGTGTGTGTGAGAGTGTGTGTGTGATTTGCTTTAAAGCTGGTAGTGTAACCATTTCATGACGGGGTGGGAGGGTTATGATTAACTAAATCTTTGTGTAGTAGTCGGAGGGCGTCTTAAGTTTGAAGTTCACGTGCATTTTGAACGTGTGCAGTGTCCTACGGGATTGATGTGTGTGTGCTATAGCGTTGCTATATTTATGACGGTGTTTTCTGTGGAGCATGATCTCTTGTGGTGTTATTCGCCCCGGCTGATTTGCATACGTGTTTGGTAATTCAAGAGCCAGAACCACTCTGAAATGTTTGGTAACTGCCTGAATTGTATCAAATAATGATTATTTTTGCTAGCTCTGTGGTGCCGCTTGCTTTTGTAGAGTGAATTACTCTAGCTGTGACAATTTGACAACACTAGCCTAGGTTTAATACAATACATTTACATGGAATGTTTGATTTAGTATTTTACATTAATTACAGAAAAAAATCATTAAAAGTATCACATGTATTTTAGATATTCGACAAAAAGCAGATGATAGGGATCATAGACTGTAATAAAAGATGGACGACGCCCCTTCGCTCTTTTCCATCGGAGAGAACTGAAGCCGCCAGTCTCTCGATATGGCGCTGACATCTTGGGACTTGAGTCTGCGCACTTGCGTTTTCGGGACCAGACATGCGCAGTCGTGAGCAGGAAGTAAAGCTGCGAAATCAAGGCCCCGCCCTCATTCTCGCTGAATCAAACGCAAGCACACGCTCCGCACTTTTCTTAAATGGCCTCTGTCTGCTCCGTTCCTCTCCAATGGTGTCTGCTGATTGCAATACCTCGTTAAAATAAGGTAAATACAACTACTAACCACATAATCAACAATATTAAAAAAAAGTCCGCTGGTGCTTCAGTGATTACTTCGCAAAGAGAACCTGTCAATCACAGCTGTCAATCATGATGTCAGAGCACCATTTTTACAGCATCAAATAAACAAATTTTAAAAACAAACACTTGAAATTACATCAACGTGATAGAAACTAAATTAAATGACAGAAACTATATTTGGGAAAAGGATATGTGAAGTGTAATTGAATTGTTTAGTTGGTCTCATGTCCTGTTGAATAACATGGGGAGGCGGGGTTTATGACCTATACTGGGACCGGCCACTGGGGGGGCGATCGAGACGCTTTGGATTAAACTTTTCAGGGCTTGTACGGCATGCTTAATAGGGATAAGTTTACCCTAGGTGGCTTCTTGCACTATAGGTAGGATGCTAGTTTTCCTTATTAGAAAGGCAATATGATCCTGTATTGAAATGTTCAATTTTGAGCAAATACTAAATTAGCAAATGTTTTCATTTTCCCCCCTAATAATATGTTGGAGAAAAATCCTCTCTAAATACTCAATGTGCTGTTGAAATTGATTCCTAAACAATTTAACATTTCGACTCATAATGTTATTGTTTTTTCAATTGGAGATGAGCATCTACTACAGACCTGATCACAGTATCGATCTATTAGTTTGTTACCTTGCAGGTACAGCATGTCAATTTCAGGCTGCTTCTTGATCATGGAGCCTTTATCAAACTGACTGCCAAAGCTGGAGGTTCCCACAAATGCTCCAATAAGGGAAAAACCTGCTTCATGTGGAGTGATCTCAAACCAGGGGTCTGCAGACAGAAACACGTCCATTTAACTGCTGACATTAACTCGCTGTCTTTCTTTTAGACAAAGACACAAACCTCCTTCCTTTATCTGTTTGCTTTGCTTGTCGATCACTGTGTAGATGGGAAACGGGTCTTTACTCTCCTGGTTCCAATACTTTGTTAATGGTTGTTCATCGATCTATAGAGAACGTTATTGTAGTGGAGAGACATATACAACTAGAAAATTATTAAGAAACAAATGCATAGTAAAGGCTTTCACTGTAAAAAGGGGGAAAAAATCATTTGGGGTTCCTCAGATCGCCACACTGATGGAACCCTCTGAAGAGGAACATCTCTGAGGAACTTATAAAATGTCCATATGTTCCTGCAAAAATTCTGAAGACTGTCAACAGTTCCTCCAGTGACCTCATCATGAAGAAAAGGCTTTGAGACACTTGAAACATACTGGGGTTTCTTGAGGTCATCACATCTCTCACAGAACCACAATTGTAAATGGACTTTACAAAGAGAGAACCCTTTACTTGAAGGGGTGTGCATAAGACTAACATGACACCTTCATAATTATGACATATGTTATGAAAATGAAGGTTTTATGCATGTTTGTGACAACTGTCATTAAGTGTCATTCACTCAGTTATGACATTTTTAATGCAAATATGACATTGTTTGAGATGTCTTTGTTATGACACCTTGACATAAACCAATACATCATAACCTGTCAGTGTCTTGGTAATGACAACTTGAGATTATTAAAAAACAACACAACCTGTCATAAACATGACATAGCAGATTAATTATCAAACTTAAGAAACCACCTAGCTTTATTTGTTAACATTATATTAAACTGTCAGGTGGTTGGTTTTGACATTGGCTGTCATGAAGCCATTATCACATTTTAATGACAAAAATGTGTACCACTGTAGTTGAGGTCACGAAAAATATTCATGACAGTTATAATGCCTCTTGACAGCCAATGTCAAAGCCAACCACATGACAGTTTAACTCAATTTTATGTAAAGTTGTCATGACAAAGACACTGACAGGTTATGATATTATGGTTTATGACAAGATGTCATAACAAATACATCTTAAACATTGTCATATTTGCATTCAAAATGTCATAACTGAGCGAAAGACACTTAATGACAGTTGTCATAAACATGCATAAACCCTACTTCATATTCAAGACATATGTCATGGTTTATGAAGGTGTCATGTCAGTCTTATGCACACCCCTTCAAGTAATGTGTTACCCATGTGGGTGTAAATTTCACCACAATTTCATTCTCAGGTATTCTGGTTCTTTTAGGCTTCATTCACTTATTTGTTTAGCGACTTATAAGTGCGAAATCTAAAATGTATAATCTTAAAATGCAAAATTAGATTATAGATCCTATACCAGAGGATGGCAGCTAGATTTGTAGTACTGTGATCTAAACAACGTTACAATATTTTTAAACACTTCTATTAAATCTATTAAAAAATATTCAACACGTAAAACGTGTTGACCTCATAAATACGTCATGGAAGCTGTGTTATGAATAATTACAGACCTCTTTCACATATGTGGTGACGACCATCGCTGCCCAGAAGTCAGTCATGCTGAAGATGTCTTTCTCATTGTAATATTTCTCCAGTTTGGCAAATGCATCTCCCCAGCAGACTGCAGGACCGCTGAGTCTCTGGATGATCTTGTCTTTCACCGCCTCTAGTTTGGTGGACCAGTCTGGCTCCTGATATAAGGAGGCCATGCACCTTCAGAGGAACAACAATCTGCTGTCATTTATGACATTCAACACATCTGTGTGTCTCTTTGTTTGTTGTTTCTCAGGGTTTGTACCAGGTGGATCCAGAGACTCCGCTCAGATAAAGGACACAGTCCAGAAGACTGGGAGTTTTCTGGAGTTGAACCAGGGATCCCAGCAAACCCACCATGGCTCTTTCTCCTCCTCCAGATCCCAATAATGCAATGTTTGGCACTTCATCCTGAAACACACACAGTTTCGTTTCTCAAACATTTGATGTTAAGCAGCTACAAAACCATTTAGTAGATTAAGAAGACAGCCAGGCAGATATATGAAGTATAATATATTTTACCACACTGCAGTGTATCCCAAGGTTCTGCAGGCCTTGTTGAACAGTGTTTCTCCTGCTGACTCTAAACTCCTCCTCATTTTTATGCAGAGAGTGTTCAATTCTCACCTCACTGTTACAGACCATGAACATCATCATCACACACTGTTATGTTGGATTTCATATTCTTGATTTGAATACAATTTAGTATAATGTTCATTTCGAACAGTTATTCTCATAATTGTTAATTTTGTCATAGACTAATTGTGTAAGTAATGTAGCAGTATATGTAATGATACGCACACGCACTGCTTCAATCATAGGAATCTGAGCAGGATTACATACCTTTCCTGAAGTTTGGATGAACTCATCTATAAAAAAGTCAGTAAATCAAAATAGCAAATCATTAATTATTGAAAAAAAAAAAGTGAATTGACAAGTGAATACAACCTAGACTAAACCTGAACTAACGGGAATTTGTTTTTTTAAAAAGCAACGTTAAATATAAGTGTTTCACCTTAAAAATTGCTAAACAATTTAATCTTTTAATTGCTGTCATTGAAATAGAAACATGATATGAAATAGTTTTACATTTCTTCTAACAATAATTACGGTGACTTTTAAATAATAATATTATTGTAAATAATATTAAATGGCCATAATACAGCTATTGCCACTTAAACATATTTGAATGGCACAGATGTTTATGTGTGGAAATGTGAAATAATCCTGTTTTTTTTTCATACTAATACCGATCTTGTATTTATGCACATTTGTAAGTGCGCAGATCATTGTTATCTTATTTAAAAAGGTGGCAGCATGGATTAATTTAATCAACTGCTGTCACATTACAATTATAATGACTTTTAATTGTTATTGCTGACAAGACATCAGATAAATAAAGCTTTAAATTATATACTCACTGTTCTTGTGTAGTCTTATAAATCCTGAGAATTCACCAGCAACACGTTTTCTCTCTGACAAGGCAGAAGAGGTCCTTTTATAGGGCTCTGAAACTAAACATCATCATTAGGGGTGGAGATGGTGGCCATTAATTTTTACACACACACACACACGCACACACACACACACACACAAGGTTAAGTTTGACATTACTTCCTTAATTTGGAATTAACCTTGTGTTTTCTACATTTCACTTCACACTTGATATACAGCCAACTTGCAGTAGAACACGTTGTAAATTGTTGCGCAACATTCAAGTCCTCGCCTTTATTTATGAAACGTTTTAATCAAAACAGATCAAAGCAGCTTTAGTAAAAACGATTTGATGATGCAAACAGTTCCTTTCAGCTGTACATCCAACACAGTCTCATGAAGATGCGTATCTATACCACGAGTGTCATTTCTCGTGGCATTTATACGCCAAAAGTGTTTTTTTCGTGTATATGGTACGCACTAAAAACCCTGGGTTAGGTTTAGGGGGGTGGGGAGTCCGTGCGTATTATACGCAAAAAAGTGCGTATCATATGTACGCGAAAATCGCGTGCCATATACACAAAAACTGTACGAACTTTCATGAGATCGGGCAGTGCAATCATATCAATAATATTGTTGAATATTATACATTATTTTTCCAGATTTAACAAAATAATAATTATTACATTTTTAAACTATGATAATCTATGATAAAAAGAGTGAAATACACATAATTAAAATAAAATGCCATATGGTTAACCACAAGCAAAAAATTTATCAAAAGTTAAATTTCTCATTTATGTTTGAGTTCTTCCTTTGTTGCAGTTATCTCAGTTACGAAATGCCCTCGCTTGTGTCAACGGTGCTAGATAGTAACTGATTACATGTAATCTATATTATGTAATCAGACTGAAAAAATCAAGTACTTGTAATTAGATTATATTACATTTTAAAATACTCTAATCAGACAACAGTAACTTTTTTATTGATTATATTATTACATGTGATTCTCACAATGTCAGTAAATCATTCATAATTCATTGATTCTCCATACTACTGTCACCAACACAGGAGGAAACAGACACGCAGGTTCACACAGTGTTTATTTCGGTTTGGAAGTTTTTCGGTTCCTTGCTGCTGTTGTCTTTGGCTTGCTAAGTTGGGGATATTCAAATGAATGAACCAATCATTGATCCCATTGATCAGCTCTACCAAACGTGGATGTTTTTTCCACTAAGAAAAGAACATTATTGTTATGTTTTGATTGACCGTGAAGCTGCTTTGATGCAATCTATATTGTGAAAAGCGCTATATAAATACTTGACTTGACTTTATTAAAAGCAGAGTGATGGTGGAACAACTGTAACCAAATGATGCTGAGAGAATGGTGACTTGTAGAATGATGGTGAATGGTGACTTAGCTGGCGATGACTGAAGTGGATTCTCTGTGCCGGTAACGAGTGAACACGAAGATAGGCGATCTGGATCAGTCGCGCTATGTGACAGGTGCGTTGCTCACCTCACATTAATTCTATCATGATTTAAATTGTTTATTTTGAAGTTTAATTTAGTATGGTTTGTTACATTATTAATAAACACAGGACAAGGTTATGAGTTGAACAGTTTATTAAAGTTTTGAATGTATTGAAGGGTGCACACTAGGGCTACTTATATTTAGAGATGGCTGGCGCGAAACAGACGTTACAAAGCCTTGCGCGATACCGAAGCGCAGATGATTCGAAACACTGATCCGAAGCGTGATTCAAAACACCCACGTCACGTGACTACGGCTAAATGAAGCTTCTAAGTGTTTCATCAGGTGGAGTGCTCTGCCGAATCAGGGTTTGATTAATAGGTCGGTTGGGAAAGATCACACATAACCATAGCGTGAGCAAAGTGCACACAGAATGCCTATTCTTAAAGTGTTGTGCTGTTTTATGAAGGCAAAAAGCCATATAATGGTTTCGATTTTAGTTCATTGGCAAAATATAACGCTAGAGACCATGTTAGTTTATACTTTTTACATCTCATATGTTCGGCAAAAGCCAGGCTCAAACCCGAGCGCATCAATTGCTCTTTCAAGAACTTCACGCTCTACGATCTACGCCACTGTAACTGTTCGTGACAGGCGTGTTTTTGATTAAAAGACACTTTTTATAATTTCATCCAGTTTAATTTCTATTTTGTTTGTTTGAAGTAGTTTTGTATTGTGCTTCAAGTAGTTGATTAAATTATGTTTGTTATGATAGTGTATATTTTTAGTTAAATATTTGTTGTTAATTGAGGAAAGTTTTCCTCAATTTCTTATATGTAAGAAATGAAAAGATATGTAAGAAAGTCCATTGAGGAAGCAGAGGCTGAGGGCTTGGGGGTGGACTTGTACATCACCCTAGCTGAGGTCACCGAGGTAGTCAAGAAACTCCTCGGTGGCAAGGCACCGGGGGTGGATGAGATCTGCCCCGAATACCTCAAGTCTCTGGATGTTGTGGGGCTGTCTTGGTTGACACGCCTCTGCAACATCGCGTGGCGGTCGGGGACAGTGCCTCTGGAATGGCAGACCGGGGTGGTGGTTCCTCTTTTTAAGAAGGGGGACCGGAGGGTGTGTGCCAACTATAGGGGGATCACACTTCTCAGCCTCCCTGGGAAAGTCTATGCCAGGGTACTGGAGAGGAGAATACGGCCGATAGTGGAACCTCGGATTCAGGAGGAATAGTGCGGTTTTCGTCCGGGCCGTGGAACACTGGACCAGCTCTATACTCTCTACAGGGTGCTGGAGGGTTCATGGGAGTTTGCCCAACCAGTCCACATGTGTTTTGTGGAATTTGCTGCGGGAATACGGGGTCTGGGGTCCTTTGCTAAGGGCTGTCCGGTCCCTGTATGACCGAAGCAGGAGCTTGGTTTACTACATTGCCGGTAGTAAGTCAGACTTCTTCCCGGTGCATGTTGGACTCCGGCAGGGCTGCCCTTTGTCACCGGTTCTGTTCATAATTTTTATGGACAGAATTTCTAGGCGCAGCCAGGGGCCGGAGGGTGTCAGGTTTGGGGACTACTCGATTTCGTCTCTGCTCTTTGCGGATGATGTTGTCGTGTTGGCCCCTTCATACCAGGACCTTCAGCATGCACTGGGACGGTTTGCAGCCGAGTGTGAAGCGGCTGGGATGAGAATCAGCACCTCCAAATCCGAGGCCATGGTCCTCAGCCGGAAAAGGGTGGCTTGCCCACTTCAGGTTGGTGGAGAGATCCTTCCTCAAGTAGAGGAGTTTAAGTATCTTGGGGTTTTGTTCACGAGTGAGGGAAGGATGGAACGGGAGATTGACAGAAGGATCGGTGCAGCTTCAGCAGTAATGCGGTCGATGTACCGGTCTGTTGTGGTGAAGAAGGAGCTGAGCCGTAAGGCAAAGCTCTCGATTTACCGGTCAATCTACGTTCCTACTCTCACCTATGGTCATGAGCTTTGGGTCATGACCGAAAGGACAAGATCCCCGATACAGGCGGCTGAAATGAGCTTTCTCCGCAGGGTGGCTGGGCGATCCCTTAGAGATAGGGTGAGAAGCTCGGTCACTCGGGAGGAGCTCAGAGTAGAGCCGCTGCTCCTCCACGAGAGGGGTCAGCTGAGGTGGCTCGGGCATCTGTTCCAGATGCCTCCTGGACGCCTTCCTGGGGAGGTGTTCCGGGCACGTCCCACTGGGCGGAGGCCCCGGGGAAGACCTAGGACACGCTGGAGAGACTATGTCTCCCGGCTGGCCTGGGAACGCCTCGGCATCCCCCCAGAAGAGCTGGAGGAAGTGTCTAGGGAGAGGGAAGTCTGGGCATCTCTGCTTAGACTGCTGCCCCCGCGACCCGGCCCTGGATGAGCGGAAGAAGATGTGTGATGTGAGGAAAGTTTTATTTTGATTCTTACCTTTTCTTTTTGTTTGGTAGAGGCTAAGGGGTATATTTATCAGAGGGAATGTGTGAATGGTAGTCAGATTTTTGCCCAGCCATAGTAACGTCATGGCCTGCTGACCTAAGTGGTTTTGTTTGTTTTTTTGCTTACCGGGGATATTTATTTATTTATTTATTTATTTTGAGGCCGGTTTAATTTTTGTTTGTTTCAGTTGACTTCCATCTTAAGTCTTTGATTTTTGTATGGACTTTATTTTGGAAATTACTTTCATTGGATCTGCCCCTGTGTGTAATTATTCTTAAGAAGAAATAAATATTCTTATCTGTTCACGACCTGTCCTCCCTGTTCTTGGCCACGCCCTTACAAATGGTGCCAGCGGTGGGATTGGCCAGTAAAGGACAGTGCAAGTAGTGGCAATATGGCTAGATATGATAGAATGCTACGTTAGTAAGTCACTGAATGTTAATTAGCCATTTAGCCTACCTTACCTTAGAATCTTGCAGTCATAAACAGTGGATCATCTGAGACATTTTTCGTTTATGTAATGTATTTGTGAGTGTAGCCTACTTGCTAGACACATGTGCTGGAAAAAAAACATGTTGGCAATGTTAAAAAGGCAAAAGTTAACACTGTTGGTTATTCAAATATAATGAATCATTATTTTGATTTATAATATCCAAATAACAATATCTGGTAACAATACTCTAATATACAGGGGAAAGAGCAGGTTTCCATATGTCTCAGATATGTGGATCAAGACCTTGTGCCTCAGGAAGTATTTGTGGGATTGTATGAGGTGCTAGGGACAACTGGTGAGCAGATGGCTAAGCTAGCTATTGATGTGCTCCTGAGATTGAATATTCCAATCTCTGGCTTGCGAGGTCAGACTTACGATGGAGCAGCCAATATGTCAGGGAAATTCTCAGGCGCACAGGCAGTGTTGAAGAGAGAATAGCCATTGGCTTTGTATGTGCATTTTGGTGCACATTGTGTGAATCAGAGTGCTTGCAGTGCCTCTACCTTACTACGTGACACATTGCAGTGGGTCCATGAGCTTGGAACTCTGAGCAACCAATCAGGGAAATTCAAAGGGGAATTTGCTAGCCATCTAACATCTGAGGGGCCTACCAAAACAGTTAAATCTCTGTGTCCAACTAGGTGGACAGTGCGTGGTCAAGC